CCCCCCCCACAAGGTGGCCGCTCTGGATTCGTCTATGCTCTGGATCCTTCGAACCTGTTACACTGCTTGCCTACGAGTGCTTCCCGCGGGCTCCAGATACTAATATGAGTAGGCGATACTTTTCCAGTACATAATGTCTAAAATACCAAAACGGCCCGGACTATTAGTATGAATCTCAAGTTAGTACTGTTACTATGATGCTCCCCCATCCCAGGTGAACCTATGTCAGGCCCTTCGATCCCGGCTATATAAAGTCAGTTAGTAGACACCACCTGTTTAGTACACATGTTCCGTCAGTTCGGAGACGCCCGAGTGCCCGTCACTGCTTGTCAAAATTATATTTGGTCGCAAGAACATATTTATTTTTGTTGCAGGATACAGCACGTAATTTGTGCCATGCAGCAAGGGCATCAGATTTGCAGAACCAACGTCGTGTCTCCAACCATTACGGTCACTTGCAAAATCGTTTCGGATACTCAGATTCAGATAATTCGACAAATTTTTATGGACAAAACGTTCCAAACAGTAGGAGCCTTGAAAATCATCGAATGCAATCGTTTCCGAATGAACAGCCACTGTTTCACGCCGAATCCCTATTTGCTCGCCAGCAGGCCGAGAATCCTGACCTCCATACAATTACTTTTAAAGAATTCCCAGCAGAACATGCTCCCGTATTTCCTAATGCATATGCGGTCCGCTCCAAAGGTGAACTGCGAGATAATGGTCACTCGCAAAACCCTCCGGTGTCGGGGCCACTCGAAAGGCGGTCGCTGGTGTGGGAACCACCCGATAAATGGTCGCAGAATATCAAAATTAATGCTCTCATGCATCCAGCTCATTCTATTCGGGAATCGCAAGGAAAGTCGTGGCCAGTACAGGTAGCGTTTTACCAGCAACTTCAAGAAAATCTTCAGTCATTACCACTGACATCAAGAGAACCTGTATCTGATGAATGGAAAACGAAAGACAGTAATACCACTAACGGTATGAAGTGCGATTGCCTGATGTGTAGCCGCATAATGTTGACGCAAGCAAACGCCGATCTGAATTATCCTAAGCCGCTTGTCATTACTGATAATGCCGATAGTCAATCCAGTCGTTATCACGACAGTGGCAGCAGTAACTGGAATAAAAGCTACGTAAGTTTTTGTTGCCGTTCGTACTAATACGATCACAGCACGTAGTACAGTGTCTATAAGCTTTACTTAAGACTAGAGTCCACATCACCACTCCAGATATAAAACAAACAACCGTCGCGACAGCTTTTAACGCACTTCACGAGCAATAAGCTAACAGCAGCTTACCACAAAAACGCATAGTCGCAGCGACCGATTATCTGGTCGTCGCGGTGTTTAGAAAAACTTCCAAACTTTGTAAATGATTATTAGTGTATTGTGAAAAATTTTTTAATTTCTTGTTCGATCCTTTAATTATTGCAGATCCAAGGCGCAGAGTTTGATTTAACCACAACACATCTGGCTGATCTTAGTAGCTGCCTACCAACATCGATAACGATTCAAAGTTTGCAGGAAGAATCGCAATCAGTGGACTGTAAGAATCCTTTGAGGGATTTGCTAACCGATCATATAGCTTCACAGGTATTCCGTATCCTCAGTCACTGCTCATTTTTGGCATGGGAAAGTGTTTTTTAGCTTGTG